CAGTGGAATCTGGAGAATCCCCAAATTATTCCTTTTAATTCATGAGAGGTAGTGAAGAAAATCAAGTCTACTGTCAGCTGGGTTAAATGTTCTGCTTAGACATCAATTTCAATCCATTGAAAAAAGTGTTTGTAAAGAAAACTCTTCCTCTAGACTTAGATCTGGTTTTGTCCACAAAAAGTGGTGAATGAATAATTGATTGCACATGATCCATTCCACATCTTTTCCACTGCTTTACAAGGAAGTAAAACTCTATATTTAGTAGTGACAACACAGACCTCAAAGTTATATGTGCACACAGTTTCTGACATAGTTTTTGTCTTTTTGGTATTACTGAGGCACATAATCCCACTACTGATTTTAAACAACAAAACCAGAAATGACCAAAGACAAGAAGATTGACGAGCACAGAATTGATATATTATACATAACAAACTTGTTGATATGATGAACTAAATAGAAAGGCAAGGTTAGAGATTAATTAGAGATAATAGCCATTTTTTTATCCATTACAAAACTTGATAAAAATGTAGCAGTTGGTCACAGGTCTAAGAGCTGTCAGTGGAAGATCAAGAAAAAGCAAAATGTAATACAAGGATATAGTGACATGCAAAGTATTTCAGGGCAATAGGAACAGAGAGCGCTAGTGTTATTTATGAAGACGTTGTTTGGGATACGGGGCTCAGGAGGCTCAAGAAGGATTAAGTCAACATAGTTCAAGAAGGATTAAGTCCACAAGCACAGAGAATAGCCTGTTGATCAAAACAATGGAAAAATGGTCCCATAAGACCAGAGGAGTTGGCTTATATCCTTTGGCAAAAGGATTTGTCAGAAGAGATACTGATGTTGGCAGGAGACAGAAGAAGGGAGTGGCATTAACTGCTTCACTGCTCATCTGACTCCTAATGTAGAGAACATGATGCCTTTATGTACTCTGCATCATACCAGCCTACCGGTGTACTGAGATTCAAAACACAGCTATCCTCCAAAACGTTCACTTTTTTCATCTGTTCACCTCTTGCCATTTCTTATTCCTTTTTTAAACTTTGCTGGTTTGTTGTGGTTTTGGGTTTTTTTTCCTATAAAAAGTCCCACAGTTGGAGGTATCAAATTCTAATATGAAAAAAAAAAACTTATATAGCTGTACATTATCATAGTATCATAAGGTTAAGAAAATGGATCATATAGGAATGATTAAAATTTTACATGTGATGATGATGAAGACCAGATTTTCTGAAATGTTCCCCATTTTACCTACAAAAACATTTGTATCACATTGTGCATACACGCAGATTGTCTTCCTCTTTCTTGCAGTGATTTCTGTAGTTGACTGCACGGCTTTTCCTGCCTTCCTGTTCTGCACTCTGCTGTGCAAAGTGTCCTGGACCCTCTGTAAGTTTCCCATTCCCCCAGCAGCTGACCAGCCTTTGCTAGGGGCAGAGAGACAGTCTAGAGTTTGTAATGGTGCTCCTGTCTTGGTCATTTAGGATGATCTCTAAGGAATGCAATTAAGAGGAATGGCATGCAGGGACAACGTACAGCATTAATTATTGATACCACTGCATAACGGTGGACTTAATATTTACTCAATACAGGAACCCAAGCATATGGTAAAGTCATAATTATGCTTATAAATCAATTAATTACCAATTCTCTGTGTAGTTACTTTTTTTTTTTTTTTTCCAAGGAAGATGTTTTTAATTAGGTTGCATTATAACACTGTTAGTGGAATCCAAATCAGTTATTAAGTCACTGCAGGGGTAACATGGGTTACATCGTGGTGCAGAATACGGCATGTGACAGATGTATTGATGGTGTCAGATTCTGCCACAGGCAGTGATGACCACAAGTGGTGGCTGACTGTTACCATTCAACTCTTCAGCTGACTGGTTCTAAAAGCAGCTTGAGGCCTTAGTGCAGATCAGAAGAAAGAGAAAAGCTTTCCAACTGAGGTTCATTTTCCATTGGCTTATTCCTCATTTTTGATTCTAGGAACCTGATTATCATTAAATTATATGATTAAAATATACGTAAAATATATGACTAAATACATTATTAATCTATTTCAAGATATTGCACACAATACTTCAGTCACATTATTGGGGCCAAAACACTATTTGATTTCTTTCTAGGAAGTCCCAAAATGTTAGAATAAATATACTGTGCTGATGTGTTTATGGAGAATGGGAAGAGCATCATTTGAAGAGGCATCTCTTTGGGCAGAATTTGAAGAATCAACAGCCAAGTCTTCTTGTTAAAAAAGGTCTCTGAGGATTTCTTTGTAGTAATGTCATCTATGAAATAAAGTGAAAATGCTGAATGTGATCATAGAACCACTGTGCTACAAATGTGGCAACACATTTTTTTTATTTATTTAGAGTAAGATGTGTTAACATCCAGCATGACAAAATTTGTACAAAGTTCACAATTTAAAAATGAAGTATCACAGCAACTTGTGATTCCACACATTTATAGCAAAATTAAAATGTCAACAAATCCATGCCGTGTAGTACAAAAATAAATCAAACTTCAGTTCCACAGAGAGCACAATAAATAGTTTATACAAAATTCTGTCTTAATAAATGATTACTTAAATTAACTTAGAAATGAATATGAACAATAAGTTATAATAAATAAACTCTGATGACTCACAATAATTTCATATGAAAGGTCAGCATTCTAATATGTGACACTTTTGTGATCCCTATATAATAGTCACAGATAACTTTTGATTTGATATTATGTACCAACATTAGATGAGCAGCAGATTTGTGCTTAAAATCCCTTTCCATTGTACATAGGTGATAACAATAAGAATCCAAAACTGATACTATCTATTACTCTACTGAAAGCATTACTATATTGGCAAAGAAGCTGCAGACACAATGCAGTGGAAAAATGCATATGCCATTATGAACAATGAAAGCCCTAAAAGGAGGCTAGGGCAAAAGTACAATATATATGGCAGAAGGTGAACAACAAGCACCTTGCTTCAGCTCTCAAAAAGGCAATTCTGAGCATGGCAGCTACAACTAATAGCACAACAGAAAAAGGGCACTGTACAGATAAGATACTGCAGAGCCCCAAAGTAATTACATAATCTTTTCCCAGCTAGTTATTAAAGTCCTCGTGGAAAACTGTAAGCTTTTGTACAGTGAATAGTATAAAGTGCCGCTGGGATATACATATATTTATACATATATATATATACCGAGGTTGAGTATTGTATCAGAATATTTGTTGTGAGATCCCTGTAGTCTCCCTTAGCAATATTACTGGATTGGCCATAATGGCTTCCACTATAATTTGTTCAGGTTTAGTGTCACAAGGCTAATGACACAAGAAATTGCACACCTCCGTATGGATATATAGGGCAAGGTAAGTGCAAATAGTCAACTGGCACATTGTGGGGACAATGACCCTGTAAGTCCTGTTCTGCTAAAAATATTTTATTTTTTACAAAACCCATCTTTTTCATAACAAAATTTTAAAGTACTTTTGTACTTTCTGCATAACATCAAGACATGGAAGGAAAAGATATGCTATCAAATTTAAATAAATTCAACATCTGTAAAACACAACACATCACCAAATTTACTACTTAAAAAGGAAAAATGTAGTAATAAAAAGTGGTCTTATGCATACATATAGTGCAGTCATTTTGAAGAAAACAATCAAATCTTGAAGGTACAAGTAAGTTTTACCTTAAAATGATCCTGTTTAAAGCAAAAAAAGTGCTGAAGTATATTTAATTACATTAAGAATTTGATTGCATTCATTTTTGCAATAGGTGATAGTAGAACAAATACAAAGCATATGTGAATGCTGCAGTAATGATTGTTCTTCAACAAAAAGCAAAACACAAATATTAAAATGTTAAGAATGGGGTCGAATGTTTGGCAAAGCAAAAGGAAAAATCTTTACTGAACTGCATTCCCACTACAGGCAGCAATGAATGCAGTTCAGTAACTCTAATAGACACAGATCATTTGTATTTATCCCAAAATTAAAGATGTGAAAAGGCAATATTAACTTTTAAATATTGTCCTTCATCTTGAATTGAAACCACAGAATTTCTGAAAGATGAACTACATTGCTATAACAGATAGTTCAGAGGGGCACTAGCAGTCCGGCAGAAATAAGAGAATGTTGGCTCCAAAGTTTATTGGAAAACAAAAGCTGAAATCTTCACGTTGTCCACCTCTGATATAGTTCTTTTCATAATGGAAGTTCCCATATTCATACCATGTAATGCTTAGAAGTTAATTAAAAAGTGCTGTTTAAGCTGCTTTGAATCTTCTGTCAAGTTTCCATGGCTTGATGTTGTCTTACAATAAATTACCCATTTTGTAACTTACATCTAATCCATGCCATTTTCTTGGAATTCAAAAAACCTCATTTTATTGCCCCCACCACACACCATCCTTCAAAAACAAAAGTCACATAATATTTTCAAGCATTGTTCAAAAATAAAGCATTTTTGCAACCAATTCTTGCTATGAAACAATATGCACACAAAATGTACTTCTTAAATCCCATAAAATCCTCCAACATGAGGCAAAATGATAGTGTTTAAAAAGTGGCTGCAGACCGCAACATTGTCATTCAAAGCTGTTTTTTTTTTTGTCCATTTCAGTTCAAAATACTAAAACATTTAATCACTAAAGCATTAAAAAGAATTTACACTCTATTTATTTTGATCAGCTTACCTCTTCAGAAATATATATACCCCAAAAATGTGCATACATTAGCAGCTATAAACATTACATGGCATATCACACTATGTCAGCTTATATGAAAACGTACAAAATGTGAATGTATTCAAAAAACTATTCTGCAGTTACTATCTTTAAAGCAAGACATAAAATCATTATGAAGTCTTGTAAGCATAACACTGTTTCAAACAGAAATAAATATATAACACTTTCTGGTAAATTACAGCAGCAAAAAACAAGAGGCATTCTTTTTTTAAGCAAGATTTTCATCACTATAGCAGCTGTTCAGACCTGAATTCCTCTCACAGCCTGCTTTATATTTTCCAGTAGGGCTTTATTTTCTGGACTCTGATAACGATCTTGATTTGTATACATGTCCGTCAAAGTGGTCACGTAAGCATCAAAATTTTGTTCATTGATTGGTTCCTACGAGATATTAAATAGTAGTTCATATACAACTTTTATTTTCTTAATCGTATATTCATTCAAGCATAACATATTAGCAAGGCATACTGCCATCATTTTTATAATATTTAAAAAGCCTATTTAGTTCTTACTTAATTTTACTGGATACACTGGAACAGGCCCTCCATGTCTGTTAGCAGTTAAATGTATCTCTATGGTTTCAGTGCTGTTACCACAAATATCCAACTGGTTGATGAAACATAAACATAAAAAAAAAGGTATCTATTGTATGAGGTGAACTGAAGATCGCCAAATTCCTTAACTTGTGCTCTCAATCACTTACCATATGTGGCAGCTGGATATTAGCTAGACTATGAATTAAAGACTGGCTTAAATTGGCCAATTCATGAAGAAGAGACTCATTTTGCTGTTCAATTACTTTGTTCTCCTCTTCTATCGTCTTCAGGTTGCTCTCCATTGTGGTAATCTAAAATGGACAAATTTGTGTACAATGTAATATAAGGCAAACTGGTACAAAGCATGCACTCTTTGAAGGGAGAGAGAACAGAAATACCAGGGAAAGGAGAAAAGGTCTATTCATTCATATTTAAAAAGGTTTTGTTGAGTCTGCAGTTCTTATCGTCACTAAGCCTTTCTTATTCCCACTGTATGTTGTATAACTTCAACAGCTTGTCTTTTCAATACTGGTAATAGTGAGTGAATGAACTTGGATTTGATTCCACTCCTTTAGAGCTTTTCTTGTACAGTTGAAAGGCATTAAGGACCTTAGTTCTGCAAGTTCACCCATGCAGTTAAACTCCTGGAAGCCAATCTTAGGGGCATTCTGCAGTAAGTCATGCTTTTCTTATATTTTCAGCTACACATATATCTTGTTAATTAAGCATGCACAGCTCCTTGCTGCCAATGCTTAGCTCTTTGTAAGTATAATATGATTCTGTGCAAACTCACAGGGCTGCTTTTGACAGCTGAAATGCACGTTATTGCAATGTATGTACAAAGTCAGAAAGTTTTTCCAATACATACAGTGAATTGTAAAACTGAAGAAACTGAAGAATATTTGCACATAAGCCAGTGGCATTGCTTCATGTACAAGTAAAAACAACTGAGACTGTGCTCTGCCTGTGTTTCCAGGTGACCAGACACATTAGCTCTGACCTTGCATGGTGCCCTGCTTGAGCTAAAAGCATTGCTGAGAGAAAGAACTTGTGGAGAGCATTGTGCTAATGGAGTCATAAGGATTTCAGATGAGCACTGGCTTATGTCCAGCTCATCAAGAGCACATGCAGAGCTCACTCACAGCTGTCTGTACTTTCCTCTGTAGCCCTGTCCTTACTTTCCACATGGGGTGATAACTGTTAACATCTATTACAGAGTGTACAGTGTGCTCTGTGTGTGTAGGTTAAAATATGCATTGACAAGAAAAAAGAAGCCAGTGAAGTGGAAAAAATGCCAAAGAACACAAGGTTTTGAATTCTCAAAATGAGGTTTATCCATTTCTATACTGGTCTAGAGAGTGAGCTGTGGAAAGAATTGATACAATTAAAATGCTGATGGGAAGGTCAGAGGTTTGTGCAGTAGTAACAGGCAGAAGGGTAAAGGTTCTTAAGCGCACATCAACTTGACCTTGGGTGAGTAAATGTTTGGAAACTGGTGGCACAGTCACGTAGTTAAAGCTATCACATTTTATTTTTGACCTAAACTTTTAGTCTGCTTATAATACAGCCCATTAGTTGGTAGAAGTAATTTAGAAAAGTGATATGTCTACATCATAACAGTCTCTAAGTATCTCTTGGTTTGACTACAGGTGCACATTACAGTAAATCCAAGTTGCCAGTATTGTAGGGACTTGGTTTTGTCAAAATTAATTGATTCTGAGCTAATTTCCACAAAATATATTAGTAAAGAAAAATACTTTCTTCATCTTTGAACCTGGACACCTGATCTCGCCTCTCTTATTTTGCTTTCAGCTTGTTTATATTGGAGGGAAATGCTGTATCCAAATGCAAAACATCTTTCATAGGTCCTTCTTAGTCAAGTCATATTCCAATATCTATCCTATTTTTTTTATGTATTACAGACCAGAATGAAGAGTCTGATGCTAATGAAGGCTCAGTTCAGTATGGCATACTGCAGCCACCTCACACTAACTTCAGCAGGACCTGAGATTCTACAGATTTTCTATCTAGCTGAGCATTGCAACTTGAATAATCTTTTTTGCTTTTCTTCAGGAGATGCTGAGTATTTGCAAATACAGTGCCAGATGATCAGCATATCTCACCACTTCACTTAGTATTCATCCGTAAGTTCATCTGTTTTAAATTTAATTATTGTATTTGTTCACTTGCAGGCTGAAATTTTCCTCCCCACATTTTACCCTAAAACTAAGAAATGTTTACTTGTATGTATTCTGAAAATAGGATAATCTGTTTCTTTTATGAAACACACAATTATTTGCACATTTGTTCTTCCCCTCTCCCCTTTATGTGTTTCTGCTCCTCTCATGTTTGCATGTTAAATCTGAACAAATTTACTAGAAGATCTTAGGATAAAAATACTTTCTTTAAAGTCTTAAGTAAAAAGGAGAGCTAATAAAGGAGAGCTGAGTAAAGAAGAATCTTATAACTGCTCCTACTAAGAAAAACGACTGAATTTTCACTTTATTAAATAGAAAAATTCTACATGGAATCATTTCCTGTTCCTGTCATATGAAAAACTTTCACAGGCACTTACAATCATATGGGCTGCAAATCTGTATCAAACAATACTGTTGCTACTTCTGGTGTTCACATAACTTCCACTATTCTCCCATTGCATAGTCCCCACCTGTCAAGTTTCACTGAAATCCGAGTTGCATAATGATTTTCTAAAGGTTTATCAGCAAACATTTTGTTATGTCCAATATAATTTACTTTTCCAAATAAAGGGGAACTGTTGACTTTGATCCTCTTAATAGTTTGATAATGATTATGATGTAACTCTCTATGTGTTGTAAATGTAAATTGCTTGTCTTCAGGAAAGTGCATGAATTCAAAACTAAGGCCTCTAAATTTTTTTGTGAAGTTTTCGTCAGATGGGATTCTCTGCAGGGCCTTAGTAGCTAGCTGGGTAAGAACAGATAAGTATTAGACCAGATTATCCAGAGATTGTGGAATTTCTAGTATGGGAAGTTAGGAATAGGTTAGACAAGCACCTGTCAGGTTTAGCTTAGGAAGATCTTAGGAAGTAAAGATGACTGGTAGACAAAATAATGTTTTAATGGTCTCTTGTAGCTCTACTTTTTAAAATCCCATTAATAATTTTAATCTACCCTTTTCTAAATCTGCTGCACTGAAGTGTGAAAAATATCCTTTTAATTTATTGGTAAAATCACCAGCTGAGCTTTCTCTTACCAAGAACACTCAGTGGTCCCACAAGTGCCTAATCTGACTTCTAAGAATATGCAATGGCACTAGTCTGAAGTATGAAAGCTGGAACTGAGACCACTAAAGTATGGCTTTTGTACTCATTTTAGATCAAAGCTTGATATTAAATTCCTACATAAAATCTCTGAAACTCAATACATGTTTAGACCTGTTAGTGTTATGGCTTTATTTTTCAATCCATCTGGCCAAATATAAAATTAAAAGTGCAGTAAATTACTGACAACTGGAGCATTTACCTAATGTATATGTAACAGCCAAACTGCTTCACATTTTTTAAAAACTCAGACATATCAGTCTGTATGTGAATAGCATCTACAGTGTATTAAGCAGAAGAAAACATAAGGCAAATGGAAGCTGCCAGATTCAAAAGTTATGACCAAATTTCTCAAGAGTAAATACATGTAATTTTCCTGCCATTGATTATCCTTCTTGATTTATGTTCTTGCAGATTTTGTCCTCATTACCCAACAGTTATATTTGATCACATCAGGAAACTGTGTAAACCTTAAATCAAATCCTATGAAAGCTGAATATTGACAGTGGAACTCTGAGCAGGCATAAAGCAGAAGTGAGATTTCAGTATCAATCTGGTTAAGGTTTAGAAATCAAATAAAACCCGAGTTGAAGAAGCACATCCTCCTCTATATTTATGACTATACAAGAGGAGAAGGAGAATGGACATGGCACCCATCTCCACAAGCTGCAGACAAAGAAATAACAAGGAATGGTTTACTCTGTTTCCACTGAGATCAACTGAGTGACTATGATCATGGGACTAAAGACCTGACAAATGGTGACTGTGGTGAATTTCACTCTTGGTGTCTGTGCTCAAATCATGTGAAGAGACAAGCACCAGAATCTATGCTGGACACTGAAAAATTCTAGGGGAATTCAAGTGATTTTCTTCTTTTGCTTTTTCCATCCAGTTTTAGGACTAATGAATAATGGGATTTTAGGTAATAGTCAAATGTTAGGTTTTCTGCTTCTTTTTCCCCCAACAAATTTATATGGAATGAAAAAAGAATTGAGCTGGATTTCTGGAACCCTACTGCTGCCAAGGGCTGCATTTAGTGTATCACATGATGAAGTATAACAGGTACTCACTTCTCTGTTTAAACTTCCTCTGTAAGGCATGGCAAAAGCCATGTTGTTCATCTGGGCTCCTTCACCTTGTAACTTATGTTAACGACCATGTTGTCACACAATATTTTAACTACTATTAGAAAGGCATAGCCTTATCAAGGGGAAATACCAAGCTGACCATGACAGGTCATGTTTTGCCATTATTTTAAAGAATGTATTTTTGCTGAGCTCTTTTTGGTTTTTTTTACTGTTCGTAACTGATGTGAAAATTGCATAATGAACATGTCTTCAGATTTTAAAAATAGCAAATCATGCATAGATATCTTAATATATGAAGAAACAATGAATGTCCAATTTTTTTTAAATCAGTCATATAGAAAAAGCAGCTTGAATTTAGGGCTTCATAAAACTGTTACCTGAGTTCTGAGTTTAATCATATCAGCTTCCATCTGGGAGTTGGATTCATTTAGTTCTTTGATTTCTTCATCTAACTGTTTAATTTCTTCATCATTTTCTATACCTGTGTGACATAAAAATAAAAAGGTTGTTAAAATAATTAACGTTTAAATCAGACTTCAGTGAATTATTTCCATATTTGAAAATCAATTTATTTCAAGCAAAAAAAAAAAGAAGCATTCTTCAAACTTTTATTCTGCAGTTAAAAAGAAGCATTTTCAACTACTTTTCCTTTTAAAATTGCAGTAATTCTCCAGTGAAAATGCTGAAAATACCTGGAGGATCAAAAGGACCTTTAACTTTACATACACTCCTTTAAATTTATATTATAAAAAATGTACCTGCAGAAACAAATTTCACTCCACTATCATATGTAATTTATTTAAAGAGTGCATCCACTTACAGATCTTCTGAAGGAAAGTAAAATATCTTAACATGGTAAACTCTTCATATTACAGCATTATCAAGAGAACCTGTAACTAATTCAGAATTTTTTTTCTCAACAAAGAGAAATTTTGTTGATGTACTGGGATATAATGTGATTCTGCAGTTGTTTTTAATGTTTGATGATGGCTCAGAATGGTTCACGAAGGGTTCGGAAGGGTGTTATTAAATAACGATATATATACAGTAATTTTCTCACATTTTTTGAAATAAATATTAAAAGCAACAGAACTTTAAAGGTAACTGCATTTTTAAGAATTCAGACAGGAATAAACTGTAACAGTTTATTTATCTTTATAATTAATATAACAAAGCATAAAATAATCCTGGGATGAGATAGATAGATCTGTCTTTTTTCAAGTCAAAGTGTGAACACCTAAAGCCAGAGAAACTGATGTTCCCACTCTCCTTCTGCTGGTGTGAATCTTTCATACCTTTCCCCACAGTGTCTGACTCTGCAATAGAATTATAGAATGGCTTGGGTTGGAAGGGACCTTGAAGATTATCCATTTTCGACCCCTCATGGGCTGGGACATCTTCCCAGACCAGCGAAGACTAGACCAGGTTTTTCAGGGTCCCATCCAGCCTGGCCTGGAACACTTCCAGGGATGAGGCATCCACAGCTCCTCTAAACAACCTGTTCCAGTATCTCACCTCTCTCACAGTAAGGAGCATTTTCCTAATGTCCAGTCTAAACCTACTCTCTTGCAGTTTGAAGCCCGTTCCCCTTTGTCCTGTCACTACGTGCTCTTGTAAAAAGTCCCTCTCCATCTCTGCTGAAGGATCCTTCATGTACTGGAAGGCTGCAACTGGGTCACCTCAAGGCCTTCTCTTTTCCAGGCTGAACAATCCCAATTCTCTCGGCCTTTCCTCACAGCAGAGCTGCTCCATCCTCTGATCACCTTGGTGGCCTCCTCTGGACTCACTCCAACAGCTCCATGTCCTTCCTGTGCTGGGGACCCCAGGGCTGGATGCAGCCCTGCAGGTGGGGTCTCAGCAGAGCAGAGGGGCAGAATCCCCTCCCCACGCTGCCTCTGATGCAGCCCAGGGCACGTTTGGCTCCCCAGGCTGCGAGGGCACATGGCTGGGCCATGTCCAGCCTCTCAGCCGCCTCACACCCCCAAATCCTTCTCAGCAGGGCTGCTCTGGATCTGCTCACCTCAGCCTGTGTTGATACCAGGGATTGCCCTGGTGCAGCACCTCGCACTTGGTCTCGTTAAAGCTCAAGAGATTCCCATGAGCCACTTCTCCAGCTTGTCCAGGTCCCTCTGGATGGCATCCTGTCCTTCAGGAGTGTCACTGCACCACAGCTTGGTGTCATATGCAAATTTGCTGAGGGTGCACCCGATCCCTTTATCTATGTCATTAATGCAGATATTAAATAACACTGGTCCCAGTACAGGCCCCTAAGGGACAACACTTGTCACTGATGTCCATTGGGACTCTGGGCCATTGACCACTACCCTCTGGATGTGACAATCCAACCAATTCCTTATCCACCTAACACTGTACCCATCAAATCCATCTGTATCCAATTCAGAAAGATGTCATAGGAGACCATGGCTGTGGCTTTATAGAAGTCCAGGTAAGTGACATCTGTAGCTCTTCCCATGTTCATTGATGTAGTCACCCCATCATAGAAGTCCACTGGCTTGCCCAGGCAGGCCATGTGTCCAAGTAGCCAAAATATCCACCTATTACTCCTTAAAACATTCTTCCTGGGCATGGCAGATACTTATAGTTTTCAATACTATCCAGGTTGTAGAGAAAATAACATCCAGATCTTTCACTGACTGGTTACAAACTCTTGAACAGCCACTGCTTTCTCCAGCTCTGCTGGCCGTGTGGGCTGAGGTGCCTCCTGCACTGCGTTCGAATGCTCTGTGGCTCTAAACGCAGTTAACACCAACAGTTAAGAAGGCATGCGCTGTCACAGACTCAGTGACTACATAGTTTTCCAAGAAAATTCAGGACTTGGGCACCTCCCAGATAAGTTTTTATCATATTACTTACTTGAACTGAAGTACCTACATTTTGCTTTTACTGCACTTCAGCTACCAGGGTACTATCCTGACTTGGTACCTTCATCATCTTCCCTGCAACTCAAGATTCAGGAAGAATTGCAGTTTACTGGAGCTGAAATGGCAAAAAGCTATCTCCATCTGCCAGAGGTTATAGAGCCATAGGTCCAAATGAACTCAAGGAAACTCAGGAGGAAATGACATTCTGGAAATAAACCCTTTTTCTCTTCTGAATCTTGCAACAGTATAAGATTAACTAGCACCCTTTGATGAATTAAATGTGAACCAGCAAATTATAATGGTATGCTCTACTTTGAAATATTTTAGAGTTTTAGATTTATATAGACATAACTCAATCTGACTGCTCTACTCCTGGCTCAGGTTTCCAGAACATAAGACCTGGTTTCACTTCTACTGACAGTGAATTCACAATTTATATGGAGTGGATTTATACATGTAGGAAAAAAAGGCAATAGAGTAACAGTAATTTTAGTTTACAGAGAACTAGTATTTAAGAACTTAATGATTAAAAATTTACCATTACTGGCCCGCTGCTTTATTGTTAGCATTTGTTCTCCAGACAGCTTTGCTTTCTTCATTGCTGAAGTAGCTCTGGGGCATCCTGATAAACTGTGAACAGTAAGGAGCCTGTTAATTTTGACAGGTCATTGAAAAGAAACCTGTAATCCAAACGTGTAATAAAAACAGTATCAGAGACATAGTTTATCTTCACTGCCTAGCATTGAAAGAGTGCACTAGTCTGAAAAAAGAAAGGACTTACCAGTAGTGATTTCACTGTTTTGTTTTTCTTCCAAAATCTTTTTGCATAGACAGCTAATATAGAAGTCAGATATACAGTTCAATTTTCTTAAGACAAAATACTTTTAATAAAACGTTTTATTTTAAAAGCAGTTATTGTCTAAATACTCCCACTAGAATTTACATGTCCCTGCTCTGAACTTCCACCCTTTTTAAATTCAAATGTTCAAACATGGAACTGAATGCTAAGAGAAGAGGACATGAGTTACCTCTTACACCCACACGACCAGCTCTTACAAACGGCTTTTCTTTGTGAATATCATCTAGTGAGCCAGCTAAATTTCCCTTTTTTAAATTTTTTCTTAAAATGGCAGTAACTTATGTGTTGGCTTTTTGTTGGAGCCCAAGGAAAGTAATTCCAATAGAAATGACCTTGTTTTAATGGGGGATATATGCGTCTTATAATGCATATTTGTTACATTTATGGATGTACATTGTTATCTCCTCTCTCTCACACTGCCAAAATATTAAGCTTTTTAATTACATTGTACAAAACAGTTTGATAGCCAACAGAGTCTTAGCAATCTTTATTGTAAAAATTAAAATACAGATCACACAGTGCTCAGTATTTAACAACTCATGGTACACCGAACTACCCCCTTTTTCCAAAATCACATATTTTATGTAGTTGCATTATCGCAGATAAGAGAAAATACATATTCAATCTAATTTAATGATGAAAAACCAAAATCTTATTCTGAGGAAGCTTTAGCTTTAGTGAAGGCAATTTGGAAGCTTGCTAAACAATTTCCTCTTGCCTCAACATTTCAGTTTTCATAGCCATGCAAGCTGAGTAACGTTATGTACTTTTCATTGCATTAGAGGCACATTTATATTTCCTTTCCAGATCCAAAGGAAGAATTTTTTACAATTTTTAATTGTGCAAATCAGATTCAAGTCTAATACACAAATAATCTCTCTGTAATATGGAGGAAAGTGGTGTCTTTGATTAAAAGCATTTCTTTAAGTAAAGATGCAACTTCCTTCTAAATAAAGTCCTCAAATTTAGGTATAGTGTTTGGTTATTGAAAACATTTATTTGAAAAGCCTGGATGACTATTATCAAGTGCAGTCATACAGAAAAGGATTGCTCTTAGGAAAAGATATTAAAAAATTATTTTCTCAGCAAAAGAATCCATGTTCAACATTTTATACAGCTTTGTGACTAAGAAGATATATAATAAAACAATACTAGTAGTATCAAGAAATGACATGACTTAGGTAGCTTTTAGCTGTAGCCTAGTTGTTAGGATGCCAAATTACTACTCCAAGGCCTGCTAGGGACTCAGTGTGTGACTGTAAACAACTGTCTTCTTGAAGTGTCAAGGGGAGCCTTGAAGACAATTAAGGAGGAGAGGATTTGGTGTTTTGGGAAAAAAATGTTGGCACAGAGAAAGAAATGGGATAACAGTACATGCAAAGTTTCTGCATCATTTAACTGACTTCATTTTTGTAACCTTTCAGCTGATTTAATGAATTTTCTCATATTTTGTCCTCGCTCTTTTTCAGAAGAAGTTAGCATCACTGGGCATAAAAACAACTGCATTAGACTACTCTCATCTTGTTCTGTAGCCTTTTCCTCTCTAAAAGTCCTGACTGATTACAACCCCTCGAAATCAGCCCTCAAACAGCTTATAGGCACAACATTCAAACAGACCAACAAGAAACCTGGATTCTAGAGGAGCAAATCTGAGAGGAGAGTAAAATAGTGAAACAAATCAAATTTGTTCCGAAGTGTTAGAAATCTACGGTTTGATTCAATGTGCCTAAATCCAAATTTTTGTGTCAAGGACCAATCTTATTCCCAGGCCATGATTTTACACACCAAGTTTTCAGTACTGCCTAAACCTATAGATATCTTCTCAGCTAGTCTGGAAGGTTATCTCTCCACTGGAGTGCCCAGGATGCTCCAAGGTGCACTCTCACCCTGAGGCCCCAGGTACAAGGTTCCATATGTGCAACACTAAGTTTTCCTATTTCACAAAACAGAGTGGTCACATTCCAGCTGCCAAACAGCAACTGTCAGTGGCCCATCACCACTGGAGAGAGATGTATTGCCGGGGTAGGAATGTATGGAGCATCTATAGCTTGGCTGCAGTTCAGGGACCCTTCTGCAGACTTCTGCCTAAACTGAACCACAAAGATCTGGGTGCTGTGCTACATCCTTGCTGCTGAAACTGTTGGAGAGTCCTTCTGCATCTCCCTTCTTCCGGAGGCACCCAGATGAATCACGAGTTAGTGAAGGGAAAGGCAAAGGGCTGCCTATTTTTTGGGCACACTAGTGAAGATGCAGAAGGCTTCCACATTCTGTAGCCAGATTAATTTTGTTCTAACCCACAGGTGATCTAATAAAATATGTAGAGACAAAGGAGGACTGTCACCAAAATGGGTTTTTTGCAATATATCTGCATGCCTAATCCACAAGCTTCCTCTTTTTGCTTCCCCAATCCTTACATGCACAGCTCTAACTTGTGCATCACACATCTGTATGACTACCTTTAGCTTGTTACACGTCTGTCCTTAGAAGAGGCCATGAATGAACAGATGGTCCTAAATTTTCCAGTGGCTTTATGCAATTTAAGAAAGCATTCAAAACTCCCAAAGGTATCCTGCTCACCACAGAGAAAGATGCCAAAGCCAGACCATGCCATTGCCTTTCCTCTGCAGATCTTTTCTGGCAAATATGTCTCTTCATTAATTAGATATTGTATTGTAAGCAGATGAGCTCACTTTCCTGAGCCAGGCACTTTCAGTTTCAGTGAAGCAGATACCAAGTTAGTAACCTAAATTAAGAGTATTGACTTCTACTACAGTTTGTTTAACTTGTCTAAATTCTTCAGAAATAAGTTAGTCAAAGATAGCAATGTGCACCCATTTTGCTTTGCTTTCTTCTTAATTAAGTTACCTAAAACTGTTTTAAGTAATTAAAAGTAAATTAGGACTTTTAGAATAAGTTTCTACTCTGCAAGGACATTCTACCCCTTATCTTATTGACTATGTTTACTTCTACTGAAGGCAGCTGCTCTTTGAATTGAGAACAGACAAAAGAACTCAGGATATATGGGAAGACAAGATGAAAAACAAGGTGAAGGCAGTGTTGCACCAGAAGTGGGCTGTTGTACAAAGGCTGAACCCTACAGAAGTGTAAAGTTAACCAAAAAGCTTGAATTGAGATCCCAGTGAGACTGAGAGTTGCTTGAGATTTCTAGAAGACTGAAGGGTAGAAGGAGACAGAAGGACAGAAGGAGACAGGAGTAGATATGATTTTATTTTTTTCTTGTGACTGGCAAACAAAACAATACAAGTGAAAGCTATTTCAGTGCTTTAGGGGTTATGCTTTAATATGCTTCACATGCTTTAAATATCTCAAAAAATGAAAAAAGACTATGAGAAATATTTGGGTAGTAGTTTTGTTAAGGATAATACTTCTCCTCGCATTAAGTATGCTATGAAGCTGTATCAAGGGAGATTGAGGTTGGATATTAGGAAAAGGTTCTTCACCCAGAGGGTGGTTGGGCAATGGAACAGGCTCCCCAGGGAAGTGGTCACAGCCTGATGGAGTTCATGGAGTTCAAGAAGTGTTTGCACAATACTCTCAGGCACCTGGTGTGATTCTTGGGTCTGGACTTCGATAAGCCTTGTGGGTCCCTTCCAACTCAGGATATTCTATTATTAAGTTTGAAGCCTTTACCGTTGATGTTTGTCATAGGTTTTCAAACTTTACACTGAATTTTACACAACTCTGCAGCTTATTCTTTCCACCAAAGAGTTAGTAAAATTAATCACAGTTATCTCACTTGCTCCTGCCATTATTGTCATACACACAAGAAATTATAAGAACATATAAACACAGTTGAGTATTCTTTCCATAATAAAAATGAGTTAGGCTTTCTAACAACATTGCTGGGGTACTGCTGTAATAAATTCAGTATAAATGTACCAAACCATGAATTATCTCTGTCAGACTCTGGATGCCACACGGCTTGAAGCCACAGCATTTTGGTGGGGCTGTGAGAAGCACCAGCAAAGCAACAAACTCTGGACTCCCTCTGAGTTTCTGATTCACCAAGGGCTGTGAGTCTCTGCTGTATCAACAACCAGATGACCATCAACACCTTATTTTGTTGGGATGCAATGTGTCTTAGCGCTTGATAAATTTCTACTGTTGGGCTGAACCTCTAATTTGTGAAAGAAAAGTATTGTCTGTCTGGCACATCATCCTAGAAAGACACCCTCTGCCATAACTTGCAAAATACTATAAAGGTTGTATGGTGATTGTATCTATTAGAGTTGAACATAAGGTGAAGAATGAATTTTCTTTCTGGTTTAGCACTGTGATTATCTTACTGCAACCAGTGCCTTGCCATATATTCAGTGGATTTGGAAATAGGGTGAAATTTGTTCAAAAATAAAATGAAAATTAGTGGGCAAAAAAAGTTTTAAAGGAGTTTTTAGGCAGTGTACAGTGTGCATTTATCAAGAAATTTAGATTAAATAAATGTGGGCTAAAATCCTGAACTGTTTCAAGAATGCAATTGCACTGTCTTCAGGGATGCAAACAAGAGAGGCCACCAGAGTGAAGGATCATTGATCAAGTGGAGCAATTGTCTGGGTGACTGACTTTAGTTATCTGGGTTCCAGCTGGGTGTTAAATACATTTTTTTCCTCAGTAGACAGATGCAGTTTAGTCCCTCTTGAAGCTGGGGCATTTGCACTTGGCTTTTCAACTGAAGAAAACAATTTCCAAACAGAGAAGTAGGTATATGGGAAAGGAGGAGATAATGGTAAAATAAACCACAGCTTTTATATTT